GATTTTTCGTTCTTCCTATCCCTGTCCTGTCGCAGGATATGGTGGTGGAGTCTCGTCATTCTCTGGTGGAGGTGGGAGGACTGGAGGTGGGAGGACTGGAAACTTTAGTAGTTTCCTGTAAGACTAAAACATGAAGAGGGTTAGATTCAGCCTTTCTCATCTAGGATGGTTGCCATAGGACGAGGTAGTACCAAGCAGTGAAGTATGGGATCTGGTCCTGGTGGCATCAGTAGATGATCCGTTGAACTTTTTCTATTGCTGAGGGGTTAAAAGTTCCTTCTGATGGTCAATTACTGTTTGCAAGATTTGGTCATTCAGAAGAACAGAGAGTAGTTAACTTATTTCTAAATACCTGGTTTCCTGTTTGCTGCACAGCATTTTGGAAATCATTAAAATGATGCAAGACCAGTTCTAGGGGGGTGTTTGGCCGAGAGCCTGACTGCCCCATGACATCAACAACAAGAAGAGCAATAGAAGACATGACAGTTACGAACATAAAGCACAACGAGACAAAGACAAGGACCGGCCTGATTGCCTGAGGGCAGACCCAAAACAGGGGATCCTGGTGACGTCTCACCAGGACCCTGGACTCAGGAAGTAACGCTGCGTCCAGCTTTCCTGGAAGTCCAAACAGACGTGCACACATACAGAACAGGAACCTGGCTTACCTCTCTGAGGACTCCAGAGGCATTGTGAGTCTGCCAGGGATGGCGAACACGGTGCCCGCCCGGTAGTTGGCTGCCTCAGAGTCCATTCTAGGCCCATTCAACAGCCAGCTGCTCCCGTGTTAACAAACGTTACGAGTCTACAGCTTAGCAGGCTCACAAGGCCAGTAGGCATAAAGGACTGTGTCAAGCACTCACTTCCCGGCCAATGCACCAAATGATGTGGGGTCTGAGTGTTTGATTCACGGCACCAACACACAATTTACCAAGAAAGAGGTTTATTAGCCAGGTTCGACTGGCCAGGGCCACCCACCAGACTCACAGGTCTCTAGGAGAGGGCCCCATACTGCAGCAGGGATCATTCTTAAATAGGCAAAAGCCCACCTAATTTACAAGGCCGTTATAATTCAAATTCGAACAACACAAAGCCCGTCAGAAGAGGGGCTTGCCCGCCACAATTCAAACAGAGAAAAGCCCGTCAGAATGTGAAAGGGGTTTATCGCACAACACTCACACACTGCCAGTGGGGGTTACAGAAGCAGAAAAAGCTAGTTAACTTATTTAACATAGCCACTTGGGGCTTCCAAGTGGGTGTTTTTTCCAGGGTTTCCAAGAATTACTAAGTGTTAGGGGAGAGGTTACAGCACACAGTTTCAGCATACTTAATATATGAGGTTATAGTTTCATTACATTTCACATAATTCATCACACTTAATATATAAGGCTTCAGCCGGGCTCGGTGGCTCAGCCTGTAATCTCGCGCCTTTGGGAGGCTGAGGTGAGTGGATTGCCTGAGCCCACGGGTTCGAGACCCACCTGGGCAGCAAGACCTCATCTCTACAATAAATCAAAGAATCAGCCGGGCATGGTAGCACATGCCTGTAGTTCCAGCTACTTGGAAGGCTGAGGTGGAAGGATCGCCAGAGCCCAGCAGGTCGAGGCTGTGGTGGCCGGGAGCAGCCACTGCACTCCAGTCTGGGCGACAGAGTGAGACACCAACTCAAAATTAATAATAATAATAATAATATATATATGTGTGTGTGTGTATATATATATATATATATATATATATATGGCTTCATACAGGTTTCATACAATTGATTACCTCTTATACCCCAAACCTCTGTGATGACCAACATATTCCCTTGCTACTGCTCCTTTGTCTATGGTTCTAGGTGGTAGCCAAAGGAATCTTTTCAAAGTGCAGCTCCGATGGTGTCTTCTTTGCTCAAACACATCCAGTGATTTCCAAGGTCTTTTTTAGAATGACATCTCACCTCCCTGCAGCCTGTAAAGCCCAGATGACCTGTGGCCCCTGATTTCCTCTCCTGCCACTTCTGTCCAAATGCTAGGCTTCAGTCACATGGGTTTTTTTCCTGTCTCTATTTTCTGAACACCTCAAGTCTGAACTGCTTTGGGATTTGTAATCCTAGCTATTCCTTCTGCCCGAAATGCTCTTTTCCTGAATGTTCTCACTACCAGTCCTTCCCCATCCTCATCCAAGGACCATCCAAGCCAAGATAGCTTCCCCCATCACTCACTCTCACATAACTTACTGTTTTCTTCTTTATAAGAAAGTATGTTGCTTATTATTATTATTAATGCTGCTTCTCCATACTACACTGTAAACTACATGAGAGCAGGAACTTAGATTCTGTTTACTGTCAGATTCCTATGGTATGAAACAGTATCTAGCAAGCAGTATGTGTTCAATAAATCATCTGTTGAATGAACCAAGACAGAATTGCTTCTGGTCACTTAGAAACAGTGATCTCACTCTTCCTGAGGGAGGCAATTCTCCCTGCACAACTTAGATTATTCAAAAGCCCTTTCTCGTCAACTTGAAGTCTGACTACCTGTGGCTTCTGTACATTAAGAAGGCCCCATGTCCATGCAGGACACATGGCTTCTGTTTTACACATGACAATGATTCACTATCTGGAGATGGTGACTATATCTTCTCTTGGCTGAGCAGTCCCATCTCCTTTGCAGCTCTGCACGTGGACAGCTGGGGGTCTCATCACCACCTTCCCACACAACAGGACTGCCGTGGATGCAGTCACACACTTAGCGACCAACCATGCCATGATTATTCAACTCTGGGCCAATTCATTACTTCTCATCAGTTGGATCAACAGATCTTTTTCTTAGGGAGCATAGCCTCATTTAAGTTACCCCTTTTCTTCTTCTGATTCAAGTTCATACACACTCCCCAATCCATGTATCTTTCACATTGCCTAGCGTTTACTGCTTCTACAGTTTTGGCACAGAACAGTCAGTGTTCATCCTCTCGTGAAATTCCTGACACCATTTGGCTTTCCCAACACAGGATGCCTGTCCTATTCTTTGGAAGGCTTCTTGGCCTTCTATCTTGCATACATGTCCTAATTTTCCACACATGAAAATTAAAATTATAAGCTCCCTTAATTTTCACACAGGTACCTAGATTCACCTGAGATAAAGTGGTGGTATTTCTTTTTTTTTTTTTTTAATTTTTTTGAGTTGGCGTCTCACTCTGTCACCCAGACTGGAGTGCAGTGGCCGCTTCCAGCCACCGCAGCCTCGACCTGCTGGGCTCCAGCGATCCTTCTGCCTCAGGCTTCCAAGTAGCTGGAACTACAGGCACGTGCTACCATGCCCAGCTAATTTTTTTGATTTATTGTAGAGATGAGGTCTCGCCAAGTTGCCCCAGCGGGTCTCAAACCCGCGGGCTCAGGCAATCCACTCACCTCAGCCTCCCAAGCGCGGGATTACAGGCTGAGCCACCGAGCCTGGCTTAAAGTGGTGCTATTTCTAACCAGCAACATAGGAGGAGCCATGAAAAGGAGAGGTTCTTCTTTGGCTACCAACAGAGCAGACCTGAAGCCAGAAGAGCAAGACAAAGACCACACTGGTACCCTGCAGTAGTCTTCTTTTTTTTTTTTAGAGACAGAGTCTTGTTGCCCAGGCTAGAGTGTAACAGTACAATCATAGCTCTCAGCAGTCGCAAACTCCTGGGCTCAAATGATCCTTCTGCCTCAGCCTACCAAGTACTTGGGACTACAGGTACACACTACCACACCTGGCTAATTCTTTAAATTTTCTGTGTGTGTGTGTGGGGTCTCACTATGTTGCCCAGGTTGGTGTTCAAACTCCCTTGGCTTCCCAACCTGCTGGGATTACAGATGTGAGCCACCACACCTAGCCTGGAACAGTCGTTGATGTACCATTCCTATACTTCTCTGCTAATCACGTCTTTGCTCCCCTAACAGCCAAAAATCCCAAGGATTTTTCCAAAGGAGAATAAGGTGCATTACATGGTTATGCACAGAAACACTTCTTAAAAATCACCTGTAATGTAATTTTACTACCTTTACCTCCAAAACATACTGGCATTTCATGTAAATCACTCGGGTAGAGCAGTAACTGTTAGGAAGGTAATGATTCAATAAAACAGCACAGTACGGTCATCTGAAAACACTACGTTTCAGCAGTATATTAGCATTCTAATAAAGAGAGCAGCATTAATGAAGTAAGTTGAAGAATAAAACTGTGTGAACATACTCTGAAAGAGTTCAGGTGATGCCCAGAGGGACAAACACTGACAGCAGGGTGACAAAAATAATCCACAGTATGTGATTAGCTGAGATTAGAACTCGAAAACAACATAAAATAAATCTATAGGCTAAAATCTGCTACAACGATTTGTTTTTATTTCTACATATATTCTGAGGAGTAATAATTTCTAATGAAAGGGCTCATTAAATCAGTCTACTGATATTCTGTGTCTGCAAGTGAAACAAAGGAAAATTTCTGGGGAATCCAGGTAGTTATCTTCCATAATATCTGCCTTAATACATCAGAACTTCTTATCCTTAGTTTTTCCCTGCTCCTTAATAATGTACTACATGTTTGCCTTTTATAAAATTAACCTAACCAATATTCAATCAGATTTTATTTTTAATAAGCATATGTCCCCTTAAACTCTTGATAGTGCTCCCCAGTTCTGAGCCTATGGGATTGAGTCAGCTAGTCTCATAATCTCATCTAGAGCCAGATGGTTATAAAGCAAATATAAATAATGTAAGTACTATTGCTCTTTTAAACTCTTATTTCATTAATGACACAATGTATTATGTGCCTTGCACTGGTTCTTGACACAAAAATGCAGTAAGTGTTATTGCTTCTAATGTAATTCTCTTATAATCATTCCAAAGAGTTCTAGCCTTTCTAAAATCTGTTCTCAGAGGAATACTCCTCCCTCTCTCAATCAATAGAGATGCCCTTTTATGAACCTCCACCAGATCAAGTTAAGAACTGAAACAAACAGTGACATCAATTTAAAGCTCAACTCACAACGCTGTGTGATCTTCTGGATGTTGGCAGAGATTCGCTGGGCCAGCTGGGCGGGGTCACCACCAATTCCTGGAGTGTACGACATGACTGCTGTGCTTATTCCCTGATTTTATCAGATGTTGGTGGGCTGTGCAGCTTTCTAAGGAGTTACCTAAATAATATAAAGGAAAAGTCAAATCATTGTATTTCTAAAGTAATTGGCTCACATTTTCCAAATAATCATTCTGAGAGGCTACAAGAACAAGCTTGATTATCCTAACAGGGCTAGAATCCAGCAAAGTGACAAAAATACCAAAACTCTCTTGTCTATCAAAAACTGAACTATAAGCCAGGCTCGGTGGCTCAGCCTGGAATCCTGTGCTTTGGGAGGCTGAGGTGAGTGAACTGCCTGAGCCCGTGGGTTCGAGACCCGCCTGGGCAACTTGGTGAGACCTCATCTCTACAATAAATTAAAAAATTAGCCAGGCATGGTAGCGCGTGCCTGTAGTTCCAGCTACTCGGAAGGCTGAGTGGAAGGATCGCTGGAGCCTAGCAGGTCGAGGCTGCGGTGGTCAGGAGCGGCCACTGCACTCCAGTCTGGGCGACAGAGTGAGACTCCAATTCAAAAAAAAAAAACAAAACAAAACTGAACTTTAAAGGGCAGTCATGCTAAACATGTTAAACAATTAAAATAAAGTTCAAATTGCATATTGCATACTCCCTATGAAAACTTCTTTAAGTAAGGTTTACTAAGTCCCTTTTCTGCATATAATTCTAATTATTTATATATTTTCTCCTTAGCTAAACTACAAACAACTATAAGCCAGGGCCCACATGTTATTTATCTTTTAAGACAACTTTTAGCATTTAAATATTGAGTAATATAACACAGACTTTATCCCCAGAAATTCAGTACACATGAGTAATCAGTCTCTACTTTTAATAGGAAAGGTTAAATGTGAAATAGTATAGCCAAAAACTGAGAAGAAAATGTCCTGTAAAATGCTCATCACACCATCCTGACAGAGCAAGGAGAATGAATGACTCTTCTCTTCCAGCAGCCAGCATCCTAGGATTGAAGGGATGCTGAGAGAATGCCACGGGAAGGAGATGAAATTCCTCCTTAACCCACAGCACTCCACTGAGAGTTTGGAAGGAAGGTTGAAAAGGGATGTGCCTGCAGATAGGACTATGCCCAGCAAAGAATTACAACCATACAACTAATCCTCCTCCTATTCCTAACCCTATTCTTACTCAGACCCCTAATCATAGCTCTACCTTTCTTCCCTCAGTGTTGTGGGGTACATATGAGAGTTTCCTACATAAGTAAATTGCATGCAGGTGAGGTCTGGGCTTCTAGCAGGCCCTCTCTCCCACTAATAGTGGACCTGGTACCCAGTGTGTGGTTGTGTGACCCCTGTACCTCCTCCCTAACTCCCTTCTTTTGCCGTGTCCTGTGTCTGTTATTCCCACCTTTGTGCTCATGTAACTAGTGATTAGGACCTGCTTATAAGTGAGAACATGAAGGATTCAGTTTTTTTGGTTTCTGTGGTTCACTTAGTATGATGGTCTCCAATTGCATTCATGTTACTGCAAAGAACATAATTTGTTTCTATTTATGGTTGTGTAATATTCCATTGTGAAAATGTACCAAATTTTCTCTATCTAGGCCACTTTCAATGGGCATCTGGGTTGGTTCCATGTTTTTGCTATTGTGACTAGAACTGCAGTAAACATGTGTACAGATGTCTTTTTGGTAGAATGATGTATGTTCCTCTGGGTATATTTCCAGAAGCGGGATTGCTGGTTCATATGGAAGTTCAATTTTTAGTTCTTTGAGAAAATGTTTTCCACAAAGGCTGAACTAGCTTACATTCCCACCAACAGTATAGAAGAATTCCCTTTTCTCCAGTCACACCAACAACTGTTGATTTCTGACTTTTTAGTGATAGCCAGGTTACCAGTGCTAGGTAGTATTTGCATTTCTCTGATGATTAGTGAAGCTGAACATTTCTTCATATGTTTGTTGGCTGCTTGAAAATACTCCTTTGAGAAGTATCTGTTCGTGTCCTTTGCACACTTTTTAATGAAGTTGTTTGTTGCTTTCCTGTCAATTTGTTTGAGTTCCTTGTAGATCCTGGATGTTAGACCTTTGTCAGATGCATAGTTTGCAAATATTTTTCCCATTCTGTGGGTTGTCTCTTTAGTCTCTTGATGGTTTATTTTACTGTGCAAAAACCTTCAGTCTGATAAGGTCCCACCAGTCTAACTTAGCTTTTGCTTCATTTGCTTTTGAGGACTTAGCCATAAATTCATTGCCTACTCTGTTGTACAGGAGGGTGTTCCCTAAGTTTTCTTTGAAGATTCTCATAGTTTGAGATTTTACATTTAAGTCTTTGACTTATTTTGAGTTAATTTTTGTATATGGTGATAGGTAAGGGTCCAGTTTTATCTTTCTGCATGTGGTCAGTCAGTTTTCCCAGCACCATTTGCTAAATATGGCCTAACTCTACTCCTACTCCTATTCCTAACCTTACGCTACTCCTAACCCCAACCCTATTCTCACACTTTTTACATGACCGTGCACTGGAATATTGCAAAGTTGTTGGCAGTCTATTTGGAAGTCAATTTTCCAGTAAAAGTCTGTTATGTGACCAGCATTAAACTAAGTACCTGGGAGACACAAACAAAACACAAAGATAAAGTATCTGCCCCAAATCCAGTTTGTCATTTAAGAGAAAGGATAAAGAGATTAATGCAAACTGGGCATGGTGGCTCATGCCTGTAATCCCAGCACTTTGAGAGGCTGAAGTGAGAGGATTGCCTGAACCCAAGGATTCAAGACAAGCCTGGGCAACATGGTGAGATCTCATCTCTACAATAAATCAAAAAAATTAGCTGAGCGTGGTGGCACATGCCTGCCATTACAGCTACTGAGAAGGCTGAAGTGGAAAGATCTCCTGAGCCCAGCAGGTTGAGGCTGCGGTGGCTGTGAGCACACCACTGCACTCCAGCCTGCATGACAGAGTGAGACACCAACTCTTAAAAAAAAAAAAAGAAGAGAGAGAATACTGTAAACCAACAACAACAACAACAAACGACAAAAGATCCCATGCTAGATAAAAGCGAAAGGGTCTACAAAAAGGAAAAATCACCATCACCCTTGTCTAGAAAGAACATACACAGAAACGTAAGATGTATATACTCAGGCATGGTAGGTATGAAGAAAACAAAGACAAGGACATGAGACTGAGGTAGACAGATGCAGAACACGTGGCAAGGACCCAGGCGGCACAGTGTTTCCTAGGGGAGTCTGAGCCAACCCTAGATCAGATGATTCACAAGGAGGAGACAACACGGAAAGGAAGAGAAAGGAATGACATAACATTTATCACTCACCTGTGAAGTGAAAGATATTTCACATGGACAAATTTGATTTTCACGGCCTCCCTCTTTGAGTAGGTACCATGATTCTTATTTTAAAGAGGAGCAAACCGCAGCTTATGATGATTAAGTGACACGAGCCATCCCTAGGTAGAGGTGGGATTCAGGCCCAGGATTCCTATGCTTTACACCGTGCAAAACTAATACCACAGAAGAGACAGGACCCTCGATGCCAGGTATGGTTTGAATATGGTGCAGTAAGAAACCACTGGAGGCCGGGCTCGGTGGCTCAGCCTATAAGCCCAGCACTTTGGGAGGACGAGACGAGTGGATTGCCTGAGGATGTGGGTTCGAGACCAGCCCAGGCAACTTGGTAAGACCTCGTCTCTACAGTAAATCAAAAATTAGCCAGGCATGGTGGCACACACCTGTAGTTCTAGCTACTTGGAAGGCTGAGGCGGAAGGATTGCCGGAGCCCAGCAGGTCAATGGAAGGATGGCCGTGAGTGTGCCACTGCACTCCAGCCTCGGCAACGAACTGAGATTCCAATTCAACAAAAAAAAAGAAACCACTGGAGATTTCTGGTAGGAGAGGAGAGGCCACAGTGAAATATGTGTCTTTGTTCTAAGGGACATTGTTGGTAGGAAGTGCAACAACTGAACAGTTGAGACCAGGAAAATGGTACTGGTTCCATGCTGGGAACACAGGAGCATCATAAAAGGTGCCTGGCCACCCTCCAAGTCCTGGGAACTTTTAGATGCTTTCCAATTTGCCTCCATTGTTCTACAGGGCCAATTTATCTATTCTTGGCTCTTTGGGCCTCACTAAGTCCTAGAGATAGACCCAAAACCAATTTCATAAAGGGTAAATTCAAACCTCAACTCAGACAGCTGGCTGCTGCAGTAGGATGGCAGGAAAAACCTTCCAGGTAGCTTTGGACTTGGGCCCAGAAAGAGCAAGACTAGACCTGGGGAGTCAGTGAAACCATCAACTAGATATCTAAATTCTACATTAAAAAAAAAAAAAAAAAAGGACCTTGTTGAGATGTAATTCATATACCACGCAACTCACCCATTTAAAGTATGCAAGTCAATGTTTTTTTAATACATTCACAAAGTTGTACAACCATCACATCACTTTTAGAACATTATCATTACACCAAAAAGAAAGTCCACATCTTTAGCATCACTGATCACCATTTCTTCCAACCTAACCAGTCAGAGGCAACAACTAATCTATTTCAAGCCTTTATAGGTTTGCCTGTTCTGGACATGCCGCATGAATGGAATCATAAACATGTATTCTTTGAGACTGGCTTCTTTCTCGTAGAGTGTTTTCAAAGTCCATCTGTGTTACAGCATATATCAGTACTTCTTTTCATTGCCCAGTAATATTCCACTGTATGAATAAAGACAATTTTCTCTTGACTCAATGACACCTGCTTTTCTCTTTTCCCTTTATATACTAGATTTCTGGGGAAACTGGCTTATAGCTAACACCAACACACTGAATGAGAAAATGTTCCATTGCTTATTAATGAACTCTACTGGGGAGCTCCTCCACCCACAGGGTTCCATTTTAATCTACACACAAATGAGTCTCACATCCATGTCTCTAAGTCATACTCTTAACTCTCTCTAGTGTCCACATCTTTGAAGCTCACCAATTGCCTGTGCAGCTCCTATTGGACCTAGCAACTGGGAATCTCTACTCTGGGCAAGACACTTAGCGTTTGGGCCTGCCACCAGAATCAAAACGAGATAATGTACCCCCGGGGACCAAGTGTTCTTTCACCCTACTTAAGGGAAAGGTGTGATCTGCTCTTGCACCTGCAGAACCAGCTTCAGCACAAGCCCAGGATAGCTAGATCTGAGGCTTACTCTCTCCTCCATAGAGAGAGAGTATAGACAGAGACCTATCAATTCTAACACAGTGCTGGAATATTTTCCTTAACCTTCAAAACTCATGTTGGCTTAGCCTAAGTCTTCTCGTTATTTTATTTTAACGCCATCTTTTTTCTTCTCAAGAGAATCAACCAATTACTCAAAAATAATCAGTTTTATTCATCCCTTTACTCAAGCAGCTAAATATGTGAAAGTTCCTTCTGGTGAGATAATTTGGCTTGATTCACTCAAAGAGCTGCTACTCTTAGATTATCTGGAATCTCCTGAAAGAAAAGAGCATGAGGTCCTGACCACCTCAGCTCAGTCTTGAGTGAAGAATAAAAAGCAATTTGCCAAAGATAGAGGAGAAAGGTATGTAAAAATAAAACAAGATTAACAATGGCCAACACTTATCCAGGATTTACTATTTCTAAACCTTATGCTTAGGACTTTTAAACTTATTTTCTCAGTTAATTCTTGCAACAAACCTAGGAGGTAGGTATAATTATTACTGCGATTTTTCACATGAAGAAACTGAGGCATAATGAGAATAAATAACTTGCTTAGGATAAGCAAAAAAGCTTAAGTTTGAAACTAAATCTTAGAGCCCTCATTTTTTAAACACTAAACCATTCTGTTTCCTTATACAATAAAATTAAAGGCAGGCGAACTCACTCAATTAGAAAAAACAAATTTACCACCTTTCTGCAGGCCCTGAATAAAAGTTTTGCAATCCCCACTCCCTAAATAAGAAAACAGGTTTGAGATGACTACCTGAGTTGATCACCATAACACAGCTCAATAACTTTTTCCTTTTCTGTATTATTCAGCTAACACAGCTCAATAGCTTTTTCCTTTTCTGTATTATTCAGCTAACGAGTGTAATCTAAAGGCAACAAAGGCTGGCTCTTCTGATGATGAGACACAAGAAGTAAATGGGCCAAACAGCTAACTTTACTGCTAAAAAAATGCACAACCAAATACACAGATAAAGCTAACTCTAAACTGACTTACATGTTTATGATCTTTGCATATAGGCTAAATGAATGCCAAGTAATTCAGGTGTGTGCTTTCCACATCAGTTTCCAGCACCAAACCCAGAGTTGCTATGCACTAAAGTACTCTTGTTGGACAACTTTTGATAGGTCATTTAGAATACCTAGTTTCCCTGATCAGAATAATAATCACATGCTTATTATCTAGACCTGTACTATCTGACAGCGTGGCCACTAAATGGCTATTCAAATTAAAATGAAGTTAAAAGAAAAATTGAGTTCTTCATCACATTAGTGACATTTAATGTGTTCAAAATTCTACATGATTAGTGGCCATCAGCTTGGACAGCTCATGTATAGATAATTTCCATCCCTGCAGATAGTTCGACTGCACAGTGCTGGGCCCCACAAACCCAAAATCAATTTTATAAAGGGTTAATTCAAACCTCAGTCTCAACACATCAATAATTACCTATGAAAATGAGTAAACACTATAAAGATAAAGAGGGGAAAGGAGAGCCAAAGTGCAACACTCATAAGAGTCTTCTCAACACTGCTCTGAAGTACACAAAAGAATGAACAAAGGAAATTTTAAAATGGAATCTTAAAGTATACACTACCCCCACTTACTACTGGATATACTGTAGAATCCTTAAGACTTCCATTAAGCATATATCTCATGCTCTACACATCTAGCCTAGGCAAAATAGTCAGTTTCACATTCTTTTTTTTTGAGTTGGAGTCTCATTCTGTCGCCCAGACTGCAGTACAGTGGCACACTCCCGGCCACCGCAGCCTCGACCTGCTAGGCTCCGGCAATCCTTCCATCTCAGCCTTCCAAGTAGCTGGAACTACAGGCGCGCGCTACCACACCCAGCTAATTTTTTATTTATTGTAGAGATGAGGTCTCGCCAAGTTGCCCAGGTGGTCTCGAACCCGCGGGCTCAGGCAATCCACTCATCTCAGCCTCCAAGGCGCGGGATTACAGGTTGAGCCACAGAGCCCGGCAGTTTCACATTCTTAATCATGAGTGCCAGCATAAACAACCAGACTTCCCTCTGGCCCGTGCCCCAAAATGTAAGTTCCCATGGGGGGGGGCGGTTTTTTGTACACTGCTCTATTCTTAGTATCTGGCTACATCAAAGATGCTTAATACATATTTGCAGAATGATTGAATAAATGTACCTACTTGCTAAGAACACACGCCTAGACTGAGGGTAAATATTACCATTTCTAAAACACTGAATTCCAGTGCCTTCTTTCAGATCCAGAATATCCCAGACTTCTTGCTGCCTTGGATCTTTGCTGGGTGTCATTTCCTACCTCTAGACAGTTCTTCCCATGATCTCCATGTGACTGACTCCTTCTCCCCAGCAAGGTCTTATCACATGCCACAGAAGTTTCAATGACCACACTGATGGGAACGGAGAACTCACCACTGGCTACTTTCTGTCAATTTCTCTACCTTACTGCTTTACAGCACGCACTCATCACTAATTAAGATGACTTTATTAGCATAATGTTTATTAGTGTTTATTACTATTTATGCCACCTCTGGAATATAAACAGAGATGACCTGTCATTTCATGGTATCTATAGTGTCTAGTTCACAGAAGAGGCTCAACGAACATGAGAGTGCTCAGTCCACAAGAGTACACTCCACACAATCTACATTCACTGAGTTCTTCGGCTCTGCTCCTCCACCCGTTGAACTATTATACTGCTTGGTTTTAGTTCACATACCAAGAGGTTTTTTTTCACCCTCTCTCACTCTAATCTTTAAAATCAAATGAAATCACGGGTAAGCTTTACTCAGACGTACTACAGATGTTTTCTATAATTTATTCTTCAACCACCAGCACTTAGATCAAGACCAACATTGTCAGAAGCTGCATAAATAAAATATCTGAAAAGAAAGGAGGACATTAATGAGTTAATATGGTATCATATTAACCTGTATAGAAACTTTGAAACTAGAGCATAATTCGTAACTAGTCACAGGTCTGAGGCCAACTTCTCAAAGAGGCCTGCAAAACAAGGCTGGTCCGCATCACAAGACGTTCAACACTGATATCAGCCCCTGCTCAGGTGTGCTAGAGCACTCCGGAGCAGAAGCAACGTCCACCTGCAACATTACTAAACAGAGCAGCATTTCACAATTATTTCCTCTTCTTCCAGATTTTGGGCAAGTTTTAAGTTACATATAATTATAGTCAGAATACAATGATCTGAAGCAAACGAAAATTAATGTATGTATATAATAGCCAAGCAAACAGAAGAAACCTGTGGGGGGGAAAAAAAACACAGCATTTCATCAGAAAGGCACTTTTCTTCTTTAGGTCTGAATTTAAAGACGCTAGATAACCTAGAAAACAAGGAGAGGGAGACACTTGAAACATTTTTATGCATTTTGCAAGGTCTCCATGCAAACAATTTAAAGGCCTGTACTAAGAAGGTCAAAGAAAGTGTGTTAAAGTCATGGAGTTAAATAGAAAACCAAATCCTAGGAGCCCCCTGCATAAGGTATACGGCTCGATGGTTAGTGGCCATCAGCTTGGACAGCTTGGACGGCCACATATTTTTCAGTTCCTGTCTATGCGGGAAGAGAAGTTTCAAGCGTGTTTTTCAGTCCGTGAGGGAAAAAGAGGAAGAGGTCAGCTGGTCGAGGCTAGCTCAAGGCAGAGCCCGAATTCCTGGGCTGGGCCCGCCG